GCTGCCCGCCTGTTAGGGCCCCCCAGCTCATGTCAGGGTCTACTTCCTAGGGCCCTGTGGCCGGGGCGGCTCCCGAGTGTGTGCCATGGAAACCTGTGGGTGCTGGCCTGAGCCGGGGGCTGTGGCCTCTTCTCTCCCAGCTGGTGTGCAGGAAGCTCAGTCGGGGCACAGCCCTGGCTTCTGGCCTTGGCCCTCACCCAACCCCTCAGACGTTCTGTCCCAGCGCCTTACTCAGCTGTTTCCTTACCTGACTCACATTTTCAGACTCCGCTTACAGTCACAAAAGGGCTAACATTATATGACCACATGTACATCAAGAGAAAAGACCAGGCAAATGTAAAAAGGCAAATGCTTATTAGTCATAGTTACCAAAGTGGAAGGGAGTGGAGACTGGGGTGGGGGTGGGAGTGTCGTGACCGCTCGAGGAGTGCTGGTGGCGTAGTGGATCACTTGGTGACATAGTGGATCCCTTTGGTGGAATAGTGGATCCCTTGGTGGCATGGTGGATCGCCTGGTGCCATAGTGGATCCCTTGGTGGTGTGGTGGATCCCTTGGCGGCGTGGTGGATCCCTTGGCGGCGTGGTGGATCCCTTGGCGGCGTGGTGGATCCCTTGGTGGTCTCTAAGCATAAGGCCAGCAGTTGGAGACCATCAGCTCCTCCACAGGAGCAAGACGAGACTCTGTACGCCCATCAAGGTTTCCAGTCTCAAGAGACCCCCGGAGGCAGTTCTGTCCTGTCCTTTAGGGACACGGGGAGTAGGAACCGACTTGATGGCAGTAGCTGAGTTGTGGAGAACTGAGTATGGCTGTCGTAGGGCCCTTGTGCTGCTGCGACAGAAATACCGTCCCCCGCGGGTGGTTTTAGCAAACAGACCTTGTACTTTCTCCAGAGTTTGGAGGCGCGGATGGAGAGTTCAGGGTGCTGCCTCTGGGGCAGGTGTTCTCTCAGTTCTGGAGGAAGCGCCTTCTCTCCTTGTGATGCTGCCCCGGGGTGATTTCCTTGAGCTCGGCGTCTTTCTTCTCCCCGGCCTGCTTACTCACTTGCTTATTTGTTTCTTTTATCTCAAGAAAGATCCACGCAAAGCACATTCCACACCAATCCTGCACACGAGCATAGCAAAGACAGTTCATTCCCAAATGGGATTATCACCCCAGGATAAAAACAGACAAACAAGCC